TAAGCTTCCAGCCTGGGTGAAATAGGGAGACCCAGCCTTAAACAAACAAAGAAATTTAAGAACTTTCTAGGTATGAAAACAAGGGTTATTAATAAGAACCACTTACATTTATGTAGTGCTTTTAAGATTATAAAATGTTTTCCTCACAGTAACACTGTCAGTCGGTCAATATAAGTATTGTTACCCTTATTTTACATATGTGGAAATGGAAACTCAGAGAAATCAAGTGACCTGTTCAAGACCACATGTAATGTTGTCGAGGGACACATATTCTTCCCACTGTCCCTATTTCCTTCTATTGTTCTGTATCACTGGATTGGAAAACAGGGATATCTATTTTGATCTCTCCTTACTCTTAGCAAACTCCCTCCCTATAAAAAAAAATAGAAGTTCAGGCTTGGAGAAAAGGACTCTGTGGTTTTGTAGAAGAATACAATTTCTCTCATTCTCTTACCCTCCTCCCTCACTTGCTCTCTCCTCTCCTTCCCAAGAAACAGAGTTTTCTGCTTTTTGAAGTTCTAGAGGTCACACTGTTGCATTCAATGTAGCTGACACAGATGGCTGCTTTTGATTCTGGTGCTACAACTATTCCTTCCAGAGGTTGGCTTATGCCCTAAGGCTATGGGGCATGATTTCTGGAAATGTGTCTGTCTACAATTCTCTAAAACGCCTTGTTTCATGCCTCTGACTCTCCTTGGCAGAAAGGTCATTTAAATCAGCTGATTCATTAAAAAATATCTTGACCCAGACAGTTGTAGACTATGTCTCCAAACACTGTGAGTTTCATCAGAGTTTAAATTGGCCAAACCTGACTCAGAATTCTCACTACTCTCTTTGCCCTCTTGGCATTCATGCTTGCTTTGGTACTTCAATCATCTGTGATTTCATTAAGGTACTTCCTCCACTGACACAATGCAAACAGTCTTTGCTTTGTAGATCATCTTCATGTATGACCATGGACAAAACTACTTTCCCCCCCTGCCTTCAGATGATAAGCTTCGGTGAAGTTAGGCAAACATGGACAGGAGCCTCATAGATCGTTGCTGGGTCCTTACTTGAAGGCATTTCAATTTGGTAGATTCTACCAGAGCTTGTACTTATTGGTATAGTCTTAGAGAACACATGCTTACTTATACTGAGGACAATGAAATGTGATATTACTGGATGCTCAATAGTTATATTTTTGGCTCCAACTATTGGTATTCTATCCAGTCAATCCAAGGTCAAACTTCAAAGAGATCTGAATTCTCAGTGGAGTTTTATATTTATACTCTGTCAATTTGATGTATCTTTTGTCTTGATATGGGAACTCCTCCATTGATGCCTTTTCATCCATGTCATTCCATAAATGTCTCAAAAAGATGTTTCAAAATGCACTGGAAGCTTTCCTCTAGGTTTTTAATATCTTATGGATACTAATGCAGTGCTCAAGTTGTTAGTCTGTAATCCCTTATTCTTACTACTTGACTGGTTTACTTCCATTTTGGGGCATGAATGTTTTTAATAATGTGTTTTATGCCACTTCTTGCATAAAGTAATTATTGCTAATATTCTGTAGCCATTTATATTCACTGTGTTCACTCTTACCACTTGATCACTCACAGTTTTGATTTGTTTCTGATTTTAGTGTTCTATGAATCACCACTATCATTGTAAGTATTGTGATATGGAAAAGTTGGGCTTTTGTGTAAGGAAGCAATTTATTGTCATTTAAGGAACTGTGCAATTTCACAAATGAAATTCAACCCATCCTCCTATTCTATTCTGGGTCAAGTTCATTATCTACCTTCCAGGTTTCCATAATATATGCATTGAAGGATTCATTCATTCAGTGGGATGTCAGTTTAGCTGCATATAATAATCTGAGCAATATCCACTTGATTTTTTCAGCATGGATAATTAGGGCAATATCTTTTGGGGTACACTAGATCTTATGTGTTCTAGGATTTGATACAGTCCACACAATGTCATCTGCAAACAGGAGCATCCAGAGAATAGCTGGACAAACAAGGAAAAGTCCCTCATTTGAACATTTACTGGGAATCTTTCTGTCATTTGAAATTTGTCTAGCAAATCTTCCATGACACTGGCCCATAATTTTAGTGAATAGATAGCTCTCTTTCATACCTCATTTGGTATTGGTAATCAGATGATTATAGAAGTTATCTCTGTGGTTGCATCTTTTACATAGGACAGCTACTTTGGTGACAAATCCCACCCCTTCCTCTATCCTTTGTATTATCATTAACAGTAATTGACCAGCCACCAACAACAGGTGGGCAAGCCAGCCTAACCAAAGTAGCAATTCGCTTTGAAAGTGGGAGTGGAGGTGGCATGTGATGAGCGGGCCAAACCAATCATTACACTCAGACCCTGGTGAAGGCAGCCAAGGACCCTGAGTCCCCAAACCTCAGGAATTGCCTCACCCCAACTGTCACCTGCCCCTTTAGCCATAGTCTAGTGGAGTTACCTCTTTTTGTATCCCCAGCACTTAGCACAGTGCCTTGCACATAATAGGTGCTTAATAAATGTTTATTGATTGATCAGTTGATTGATTGGAGACTAGGCAATTGTGACTAGGCAATTACTTCTGTAGGTACTATAGCCTCATCTTGGCAACCACAGGTAATGAAGACTCAGGAAAAAAAATAGGTTCCCAACTTCAGGGCCCTTTGAATTGTCAAATGGTTCAACATCAGAAATTGATATGGTTTTATCAGTAGAAATAGCTTCAAAGAAGATGTATTGTCTATTACTTTGCTGCTGCACTCTAAGAGGACTATGGGATCTTTCTATCTAACTTGAAGCTGAAGCCTCCTATATATGTTGTCTCTGATTATCAGAATGTGAGCTCCTTGGGAGCATAGAATGTCTTACTTTTTTATTTGAATCTTCAGCATTTAGTACTGTGTTTTGCACATAAGTGCTTAGTAAATGCTTCTCAATTCATTGATTTGAGGACCTTTGTATGATCTTGATACATTATAGGAAAGAGAAACTTTGGTGAAAGAGAACCTTTAAAGACTATATTTTTCTGTACAATGTCAAATGCCTTTTTTTTGGTAATCATGAAGCAGTGAACAGAGCAAAATTTTGTGGTTTCTACACTATCTGTCCTCTTTGTAATGTCCATTCACAACTACTACTTCTTCCCTATAGTGCTAAGTAGATTAAGTCCACTTTTCATTTTCCATCAGTATCTCTGCTTATTTTCACTCTCTGCTTATTTTCCACTCCAGGAACATTGAGCTTTCCCCAGGTTAAGCTCATTAGCTGAAATCTCATCATGTAGACTGACTCAACTTTTGACACTTAACATCTTTTCAGATCTCTCACTTTCCTCTCCCTTCCAACAGTAGGGCTGGAGGAAGAGCAATAAACTTTTCCTAAAGCCTTCCTTTATAAAAGGATGATAATGTTCTCAGTAACTCTTCAACTGTTTTTTTCTTATTTGTATCTCTAGGGCTTAGCACAGTGCCTGGCATATAGCAGGCCATGATAGTCCTCCCCACCCCTTCTTATTTTCACAAAAGACTTATCTTCTCTAGACCAACTAAACCTAATTCTCTCAACTGACAGAATGCTGATTGTCCTCTTCTAAATAAGTTCCTATTTAACAACATCATTTTAAAGATGTACTACCCAGAACTGAACAAAGTAGTCTACATGGGTTCTATAAGGGAAAAGTAGAGCGGGCTGGGCTTTCATTTCCTTAGTCGTGGTAATGGGTTCATTGGGCCAGAATATGTACAGTTGTGCAGTTCTTAATTCAAGTTTAGCTTTCCACAAAGATTGTAACTGTTAGCAGCTCTACCAGTAATAAATGAATGTGCCTGTTTCTCCATAACATCCCCCAACTGTGAATTTTGTAGTTTTAAACTATTTTTGCAAACTTAATAGGTATAAGGAAGTACCTCAAAGCTTTTAAATTCACATTTCCCTGTTCATTGGAGATTTTGAACAATTCATTTCTGTTTCTTCTTTCCAGAATTGCCTGTTTATACCATTTGACTTTATGCTATTATCCTTTTCTTATGGTGCACTAATATTCTGTTATATCCATATACCACATGGCTAGATAACATTTGCATTTAAATAATTTTCAATGCTTTAACACAAAAGGGTAATTTGGGAATTCTCAGCCTTGTGGCAGTGCCAGCAGTGAAGATGTTACGGGGCAGGGAGCCCTTTCCACATTTCTCAAATCATACCACATAGGCAGCCAATTACTCCACTTAGGCAAAAGCCCAGCCCCCTTGCCAATTCCAAAGTTTCCAAGAGAACAGAAGAAAGACGTAGTTGACATTGGCAAGGGTCAGAGAGAAGGGTACACAGTAATAGGAAGCAGCTACTTCATTTAAAAAAACTTATCGGATGCCTTTACAATCTAGTTCAGACCTCTATGTCCCTTTTCAGGTTATGCCTAGGTAACTGCCATCCTTTTTGGCACCATTGCCTATGGGTAGTATAGAATGGCCTTTTGGCAAAATTGTGAAATAGGAGTAGAGATTAAAAAAAGCACAGTATTTATGTGAAAGAACAGCTGTAGTTACTGGAAACTGCCTTGGAAAAGCCAGCCACTTTCCTAGCTCCGGTTTCATATGGTTAAACAGCAGCCTTCTCATATGAAATGTGGGCTTCCTAGTAGGCTGTATTAAAAGAAAGAGATAGCGCCTCTTTTAAACCATTAAGCTGACTTCCTTATATTTCTAGTTACTAGTTGATTTGGGCCTTATAAGTAAGTCTTCCCAGTGGGTGATCACTTCCGGATCCAAAGCTATGATCCTATAATCTCCACCCATTCCATATGCTCTCCAACTCTATGCTTTTGTTCCCACTATTCTTTTTGTCTGGAAATCTTTTCCTCTTCTTCACTTGTTGCATTGCTAACTACACTTTAAAGTGTAATTCTTGTCATCTTCTCCATGAAATCTTCTTTGATTCCCAACCTGGGATTAATAATGACCCTCTTGGACCTCATATAACACTTTGTTTTACAGCTCTATGGAGCACTTGCCATTTGACATCTGCCTTTGTGCTTGATTTACCAGCTTGAGTGAAAATGCCAGAGAGACAGGTAGGTAGTGTCTTATTTAAACTTTTAAAATCTGCTCCCCTTTCCCCCTTAGCCTATGCTATGCCCAGTAGGTTTGTTGACAAATTGACTTTCTTAAAATGAAGCTCTGACCATACCACCCTACAACTCAAGAAAATCCACTGGCTCCCTGTTACCTCCATGATCAAATACAGAATCCTATTTGTCTTTTTTTTTTCTTTTTAACTTATTTGTCTTTTAAAGCCCTTCAAGGTCTTGCCTCTTTTTATCTTTCTAGGCTTCTTACACTTTACTTCCATCCACTTTGAGACCTAGCCAGGATGGCCTTTCTTTGCCATTCCTGGCAAATGGCACTTCATTTTACTCTGTAATTTTGGAGTGTCTGTCCTTTATGCTTGGAATGCACTCTCTCTTCCATTCTGCCTTCTGGCTTCCCTTAGAATTCACCTCAAATGCTATCCTGTACAAGAAGCCGTTTTGATTCCTCTATATCACATTACTAATGCCTTCTCCTCTGGATTACTTTCCATTTGAACTGCATATCTCTTGTGAACATGTAATTGTTTGCATATTGTCTTCCTCATTGCAGTTATCCCTTCTGTACCTTGAGAGTTAGGGGTGTGGCATCCCAGCTAACTGAAAAATACTCATAAAATTTTTTGGCCCTCCCTTCATATGAAAGAAGTCTTCCTTCTCCTTCCCTTCCCGTTCCCCTTCCTCTTTCTTTTTCTAAAATGAGACTCCCTAACTCAGCCAGGCTAGAAGTGCAGAGTTGGCCTCTTAACAGTCCTGATTCACTCTGATCAGCAGGTGGAGCTTTGACCATTTTTTGTTCCCAACATAGGCCAGCTCACCCCTCTTTAGGCAATATGGTTGCCTCCTGGGGACACCCAAACTCTTAGCCCACTGTGACTCAGAACTCATGAGCTCAAGAGAGCTACCTCCTAATAGCGGGGATTACAGCATGAGCCACTATGCCTGCCCAAGCATGTGTTTCTTGAAGGACATTGCTTATGCTACTTCTTGCATGTAGATCACCATTGTAGACCCGCTGTAGCATATTTATACCCTCCCTACTAGTGGTATCATCTGTGACTTTGGTTCTTCACAGATGATTGTATTCTAAGATTTATCACCCTATAGTATCACTGGGTGAACAGTGATATTTTTTTTAAAAAGGGTTTTTTTTGGTTTGTTTTAGAAAGTAGCTGAGAGTCATTAAAAGTGTCATGCAGTTTCTTAGAAGCAGTACAGAAGGCTCTCTTCTTCCTATTTCTATCTACTCTATTGTGACCATAAAACACAAAATAAATTTGTTTGGTTATTTCAGTGAAATAAAAAGTATACTGTATTTGGTCACCAGAAGACCCATATTTGATTCTGGATCTGCTATGTGTTGCCTATATGATTTTGGGCAAGGATTTCTCTGGTCCTTGGTTTCTCTTTTTGCTCCAAATTCTATCATCTTATAAATTCATTTGAAGAGTGTCAAATTCTATGAAAACATCTGTCAGTTCAGTTAAAACAAGTGAACTAATGGCCCCCAGTCAGAGCCATCCATTACATACTTAGCAATAGATATAAAGAGTAATTACAGGAGAATTTTGGCTTTTTTTTTGCCATCCCCCCAAAGAAAAAAATCCCAAAGTCACCTTTTGTGCAGCTTTTAAGTTTATTTCCAGCCAATGGGCAAGAAATGTCTTTGCTTTCTTTTTATCTGCTACTCACAACATTATGATATCTTTTACTCTGAACTACTTTCAGGTGATACATATGGCCACCTTGGGATACTTGTCAATTTTTACTTGGATGCAGTTTAAACACACAGCTCAAGATTTCACCTCAGAGATTACTACCAGCCTTGCAAAGAAAAACAGCTCTCTGCTGCCATCTGCTGTGCCTACTGGAGTAGATGCTGTTAAATGGATTTTCCTTTACCAGCCATCATTGTATATATAGAGGCTTGCTAAACAGGAAAACATATAAAAGACCTTTATCACTGGAGAGGGGATGGTAGAATAAGATATTTCAAAGGCAGGTGTAAATAAATAGGTTAAAAAAAGATAATGAAGTATATTTTATACTGAAATTAAAACAACAACAAAAACACCACCCGACACCATTTGATGCAATCAATTAGAAGCTTCGGACTAAAGTCAAAATCTACTGTAGTCTTGAATCAAATGAAAATTGAGCATTATCTCCAGGAGCTGTGCAATTTTCTTCTTGTATGACACTTCTAGCTGAAACAGATTGATAAATAAGGATGGCATTAGAGAGAAATTCTCCATGGATTCTGTAAACAAAGATCATTGAAATAAAATGACATTTGTAATGCCCAGGGAATTGCTTTAAATTTATTGAACTTGGCATGAGCCATGGATCTCTGGCCTTTCCTTTTATCTCTTGAAGAGACATTCCCCAAGGAACAAGGACATCACATA